TCAAATTAGTCGCTGGAGTGAGTACCCGGTAAATCGGTGATATTCTTTTTTTTTCTGCATGAAACCGGCTCATCTCCAACTTCAGCGTTGTGCTTGGGACAGCCCCTCTCTGAGAACTCCTCTTCTACATATACCCCTCCATTTCAAATATAAGTTTTCAAGCACCAGTCAAGCACTCATGTGAGCCATAGATTGGAACCCTTGTCTCACCGTTCCGCGCCCGTGCGAAATCAAAGCAGTTGTTCCGACCCCCACGTTGTTCCGCCCCACCGGATCGCAACACGTCGACTTTGACCACTGTTATCCAGTGGGTGCAATCCTCTTCCACCTCTACTACTTGGCATAATCACGACACACAAATTACATTACCCATGGTGTCCTTATGCTCTTCTCTCCTCTGTCTTTGTTGATAGTCAAGGGTCGAGTTATCTAATTCTCAGGCCATGTTCTCTCATTCGCTGAGCGCCAAGCAAGGGCCGATTGCCGAGCAGCTCCAAACTTCAGGGGTGATTTTGATGTGTGTGTCAAAAGGAGCAGGATTGCGCTTTAATTTAAGCCGAACAAGGTCATGGCCAACTTCAGTACCATACGGTTGTGTGGCACACCGTTGCTAGGCTACGGGATGCCTACAGCCTTTTTTCAAAAAGTAAATTTCAAGACGCAAATCAATTTCAAACCAGAGACTCAAGTTCAACCTGTAAAGCTTGGTTGAAACTTGAAAGAGAGGGGTCGAGAGGGTTGAGCTAGTCGTGAGCATCACACCAGTCAAAGAAGCTTCTAGCTTATCGGAATGTTGGGTTCGAAAAATTGATCACGTACAAACCTGTGCGGTATGTTCGACCCACTTGAATTTCCACGGGATCACCGCTGATAGGGTCGAATGTTGACTGAGGTCTGGATGAGCCAAGTCGGAGGAGATGCTTCAAAGTAATACTGAAACACAAAGTCTTCAATTCCGAATTCAATACTGAGCTTGTAACGTGTGTAATGCGGAGTGTTCATTGTACATACACCAGGAACAAGAGCATATATTGTACAGATACGTAGACGCCACGTCCATCAGCACAAAGCTTTTCTGCCAGTTGGTATGTAAGTCGCTCTAGGCTTTATGACATCCGTCCACCATGGATTCAGGACATAAAGCCGAATTCCAGTACAATTAAAAGGTTTAATGAAAAATGATGTCAGAAAAGCTTCAACTGCACGCGCGCTCGCTGCGTTCACGCACCCAGCAGCGCAGATCGCAATGAGAAGTGAGGAGTGAGATAGATAACAATTTGGACGACTGCTGGTGATTGAAGTCGCTTGAAATCTTTTTTTGAACCAGCGCATTCTGCAAATTTATCACAGGTCACCAACAGTTCCGCCGGCCTGACGAATATTCGGGGAATTTGACATGCTCGTTAAATTGGCATCTATCAGAGCTGTGGAGCTCCAAACTCCGAGTTCCAGCACAATCCATCGAGGGGGTGGCAAATTCAGGACTATACGAGTGTGTCCGATACCTTCGTGAATGGCCTTTGAACGTTGCTTTGCGACCTGTAACTTGTTAAGTTCGAAGAAAATGGCATTCTCGATAGTGAACTTGGCAACCCATCCAGCCCAATGCGGTCTTCCATTTGAATAGCAAGCGCCCTCGGAAACCCGCTCACGTTGTCCTGGAGCCGTTGCGAAAGTCTTTTGCTTTAAATAAACCCAGTTTCTCCTAGAGAAGTCTCACCAAATGGCAGCAATAACATCCACGCTGACAATCTGTGAAAAACGGCGTTGCTTTCCACTCCAAGGTTGTCGTGTCATGCCTTTGCGGAGTGGGATTGGTATCGAGCACCATTCGATTTTTTTTTTCTGCGCCGCCTCTAGGGAACCGAAGAATGGCAAAAGACGCTGGGTAGGTGTACCTAGTTTTAGTACGAGCAATTGAAACGCCAGACAGGGTGCACAAGACGAAGAATAATCGCGGTGGGATATGTAGTCTGATTATTATCCACAGTCCACCTTCCATACGCTAGGGGTGTAAAAAGCTGGGATCCTTGGCCGGAGAACAAAAATAATAAGAAGTGGACGCGTGAGTAGGTCATGCGCAATTGACCACATTGCCCTTCGAACCTGTAAGAGGGGCTTGCCAATGAAGAACAACAGTAAAGCGACGTCACGAAAGCATATCCCTCGAAGCGCATGAATTGGGTGGGAGAGAAGATGCCTTCTTTGTCTCTTGATAGCATGAGGAAGAGGAGTTTCTCTGGGTGTATTGTAGGCGATTGGTAGGCAAGGAAGTGGACAAATGTATTCAACGGAATTATCAGAGACTAGTGGAGTGGGATGCATCAATCCGTGGTGAAAACATCCCAATTCGGCCTATGGTTACTCCATTTGAAATAGGGCCGTTGTATTCTCACAATTCATTTCCTTCGCTAAGCTCTTATATCGTCAAGATGCCACTATTTTTTCCCGTCACTTACATACCTCCCTATATGCTAGAGTAGCCATCTGCTGGCGCATTTTTTTTTTCTCTGCTTCTCTCTCAAAACGTCCCTTTAGGACGGCTCCACATTCTTTTATATCAATACTCCTCCAACCCTTTGTAAACTCTTGCGCCTAGACTTTTGGAGAATGCGTTACGTTCGCCATCCCGCCAACGATGTGAAGGCAACGCGCAACCTGGTCACCAGGACAGTCGACAGACGCGAACCTCAACTTATCAAACTCCCAATACCCCTTCCATCGATACCCATCTTGACTCCTCTACTCAACCCTGTTGTTGGTGGATCTAACAGCGGCTCTAACAATGGCGGGTCCCCAGCACCGGCGCCCAACCCATCTCCTTCTCCCTCCTCACCGAACAATGGCGGTGGAAATAGTGGGGGAAATGGCGGTGGAAGCGGTGGCGGCAACGGCGGTGGAAATGGTGGGGGCAATGGTGGTGGGACGGATAATGGCGGCGGTGGGGGTGGTGGAACTGGTAACGGTGGTGGTAGCGGCGGCGGGCAGACAGACCCAGGTACTGGAGGGACCAATCAACCCCCCACTGGGGGCAACAACAACCCGGGCACAAGCAACCCCGCTCCCAGTCAAGGCTCTGACCCCTCCACACCATCTAGCCCAGCATCAGGTGGAAGTGATGGAAATAGTAGCGGAACGCCCACCAACGGATCAGGCAACGGTGCATCTGGTAGTGGTGGTGGGTCCGGAGGAGGCCAGCCATCGAATCTTGTGGACGTAGGGAGTTCATCATCTGATGGAGGCTCCTCATCGCCAACCTCAGGACTGGGTGCCCCTGCTGCAAACGCAGGAAGCGATCCATCTAGAGGCGGTGGTTCCTCAGGCGGCTCTGGTCACGGTGGAACCGCTGCATCAGGCAACGGTTCGCCCACATCTGGTATCTCTGGTCCTTCTACGTCTGTAAACGGAGGCGATGGATCTGGCACTAATGTCACGGGTACCAATGCTGCCCAGGACAACACTGGACGACATCTCTCCTCAGGTGCAGTCGCTGGAATCGTAATTGTTGTTCTATTGCTTCTTCTCGGTTTGATCGTCGTCTTGCTCAGAAGACGCAATCGCAACCGACGAGACGCTCGAGCTCATACTTGGTGGTTCGCTCGCAAGCGTACCTCGCAGAACTATGGCGATAGCGAAAGCGCTGTCATCGTTCCACGTCCCAAGAGCTCTCGAAGCAGCTTCGCCACGACATTCGAACACCGTCCCGATTCACCCATTGGACCCGCTCTTCTCCCACCTCTTCCTCCCATGGCTGAGCTCGGAAGGCCCAACGCCAACGACCCTGCACTCTTCTTCGGTACCCAGACTCCCGAGCGTAGACACTCTGGAATAAGTGTGCACTCCGAAAATTCGCACTTCCTCGTCGTCCACCACAGAGATAGCATTCAGGTCAACGGAGTCACCCCACCTGCGTCAGCCACTGAGGCTCTGTTTTCCGATTCCCAATCCTTCGCATTCCCCAAGCCTCCAACCCCAGGAGAGCGTGCATCTACCTCTCGTCCCGGTTCATCCAGGCCCACCAGCACCTCCACCGCACTCCGGAGCCCAGCATCGACCCTCTTCTACCCGCAATCACCTACCGTCGTAGTGACGACAGCACCCAACGATCCCTTCGCGGACGACAACCCCTTCTCTGATCCATTTGCGACTAACGAGCAATCCACCATCCCCTTCGCACAGTTCTCGCCTTTCGAGACCATCCGTCGACCATTTATTGGGAGCCGCGATGACGAGCTCGACGTCACTCCTGATGAGCGCGTGCGTGTGTTGAAGCCATTCGACGATGGTTGGGCCATGGTCCAAAAGGTCAACACTGACGGTAGCTTGGTCGAAGTATACGGTTTAATCCCCATCGACTGCTTCCGCGAGCCCGGCCAGCAGCTCACCGAGTTCTTCAGGGAGAAGCGTGTCAGTCTCTCATACAGCGACCACACACCAACCGACTTTAGCTATACAGCCGTTTAGATTGATATTGATATTGACATTGACCCCCCTCATTGGAGCATATCACGCCCATCTGAACCCCTCATTAAATACTTACACATTCACAATTTATCCACCATTTCTTATTCGAGTTACCCCTCACCCCTTTTTTTCCCGTTCGCTTTGTTGTTTTTCTAGATCGCGAACTGTTTTTTATTTTTAACACCTGTATTTTCCCTGTGATCCATGTTAGGACGTCGACGATCATTGCATCATGCTACATGTTGCGTCCTATAATGCGACGCACGCCCATTTATATCGACTGTGAATCTTAGATGTTCGCCAACAACATTCCTTGTGAAACCTTAGCATCGCTTTCTTCTGTTGCTAGTATAGCCCCTCCTGTTCGAATCGAACATCATACCCCCTCATACTATTAGCATCATCGTTTTAATTGTTTGCTGTTTTGAATGATATATTTAAGAAAGTAATAATGTAACATTTGCGAATCGGAATACGATGAATCCAGTACACGAACTAGGAAGTGGTATGGTGATCATCGAAAGAGCAAAAAAGTGTGATGAGAGTGGGATTCGAACCCACGCCCCGAAAGACCAGAAAGTAGTGGACATCTGAATGTCCTGGTCCTGAATCTGGCGCCTTAGACCACTCGGCCATCTCACCATGTGAGGGTGGATTCACGCGACCTATAAGAGCCTACAACGATAATATGATGACGCATCGCGACCCTTACTTTAAAAGGACCTGTCCAATTCCCTCAGTTTCTTTCAATGCTTTCAATCCCCTCCACAAAAATAAACAAAGGAAGTAACCCAAGGAATCCAATCTCGATTGAATAACAAATCAGGCAACGAAGGGCAGATACTGGTGCCGTTGCTGTGAGTCGTGATCCGCGTTAGAGTATCTGATACAGTCTTCAATCTTCGACTAGGCAGTATAATATTATAACATCCCGAAAATAAAGAAAAAAGGAAGAAGAGGTCGAAGAGAGAGAAATGGGTCAAAAGCTAGTAAACTAAGGAAGAAATATCTCCTCCGGAGCATAATCCATGATCGACTGTCCCGTTCTACACCTGACATCCAACACCGCGTCTGTTTTTTCCTTAAAGTTCAAGAGCAGCCCAGGAAGCCACACATCCTGAAACCCGGTTACCAACGGAGTCAAATCATCTTTAATGTGCATGAAGAACACCATATCCAAAGCCTTCAATGTTGCCCATTTCGCTGGCGTTCCCAGACCAAATACCGAGGAATCGAAGAGCGCCCAATCCATGATGTGGAGATAGTCGAGAGTATTGCTTCGCGTGAGGATTCTGATGGATTCAACGATGTTTGAATGCGACAGAGAGCATAAGCCGTTGATTATCCACTGAAAATCGCTTTCTGAATCAGAGAGAAGCTGACCACCCTCGAACCTGGCGATAAGTGTCAATGTGAGGTGTTGAAGGTTGAATAGTGCGCTCAAGATAAGGGGTTGTGGATCCCCTAATTCGAGTTTACGAAAGTATTCATTTTTCAGCTGACTGCTCGTCATAATGGGTAAATAGCATGCGCGACGAACCTGGTGCGAGGTATGTCTGATGGGTTGTAAGATATAGCTCAAGCCTCGTCAACGTCGACGAGAAATTTGCGAAATACCCAGGCATAGCTTGCAAGGGGAGTGCAATCCCATAGATGCGGAAGGTCGAAACGCCGGTGAGGTCACAGTATGCAGAACTGAGAGCAGAGTCGTTGAAAGGTGGATGATACAGTGTGAACGTTGTTGGTCGCAATCTGGGCGGACTTTGGGTGGCTGCATCGTCTATGCTATGATTGGGGTCGGACCGCACAGTCTGGATAGAGAAATCCACAACGTGTTTTGCGTTTGCTAGCAGTGTCAGATCAAAATATCTGTGCCCCCACACCGTCAATCTTGACAGCGTCGGGTTTCCTAACAGCTGCCTTAGCGAAGTCCGGAATTGGGGCATCTGGCCAACGCGCTCTAGAGACCGTGCACCTATGATTAGATGCACACTCGTGAGGTTCGGGAGGTCCTGCTGCATGACTGAGCACAGAGCGTCGACTTCTGCAATTCGTTGCTCATAACCGTCGCTTATATCCGTACCCAGCGTCATATTTAAGCTATGTATGGCTGAAAGGATGGTAGGAGAACGCCCAATGACAGCGAGAAACCCAGGGACGTTCGTTGCTTGCCTCTGTCCCACCCACAAGGTGACACTTCGGAATAGGTGTATGTGGGTATAGGAGCGAATGGCTTGACATGTTAGAGACAAGATTCGGAGGGTGGGAGGGTTGTTGTGGAGCCCTATGTCGATGATGTGGAAGATAACCTCCAGAGGAAGTGTAGTCGTCATTGGGAACACTGGAATGTGATCAGGCATCGCCGTTGGTACAAGTAATGCCATGTATCTTCATTCAACGGGCTATTAGATCCTAGCAGCTGGTGTGGGCAACGGAGTAAGTTGTGGTGGCATACCTGTGGTGATGCTTATCTATGGCACAATGTAAGCCTCATGTCGCCCCATCGTTCGGAGTGACCGCCGATAACAGGATAACGCTCATAAAACTCCCGGTATGGAATTAATTTCGAGACGCTTCGTATCAACAGTGCCGAGCCTTTCGCTAACTTCGTAAGCTTCAATGTTGCGGTGTTAGTATCTCGCCGAATGTGAAGCACAGTCGGATGAGTTGGGAACCGAGCGCCAAAACCTGAGCGTTGAGGGCAACGAGAGTCTGAAAAGCAGACCCTCGAGCCAATGCCAACACTAGAGGGAGTAGGTGGGAGGGTCACAAAAATGCGGAAAATGCGACTTGAGAAAGCAGGCAAAGAGACCAACACTGCAGAGATGGCAGTGGTTTGAAGGAAAGAGTTGGAACCCAAAGAATCTCGCGAGCCATCGATAAACGATGGCCCTTCGAGACGTGATAAATTGCCAGACTACCGAAGACGCGCGCGCCTTTCCTATCCTTTGACGAGCGTGCATTGCGGCCCGTCTCATCGTCAACTAAGCTTCACCGCACCCGACTTAGGGTTAAAAGGCCGCTGCTGGCGACACGGCGAACGAGGGTTTATCTGTTTATTTCTGCTTAGGACACAATCGGATTACCACACAGAAATATTAAATAAACGAATTGTCAAGGACGTTGCATAGGTGCGTGAATTTGAATTAGTGAGCACCTGAGGCTCAGAGTTGAGCTGGTGATTCCAATCTCCCCAATCTGGAAGAAGCGAGTCGTAAACTATGAGCAAGAGAATGTCGTTTTACGTGCATGAGCAGACGACCAGAAGTCAACAGCACAAACACTTAATGGCACAGATGACACGAACATAGCTTATAAGTAGGCGATGTGTCTGCTTTGACCTCAATTCTCTTCTGTAAAGGGTTGTCAATAAGATACCAAAGTGAAATTAAGGTGGCCTGAGCTCGCCAATTTAAATTCTAAGTATACGGATCAAGGTCCTACAGTTTTGCTAAATGGAGTTACAACCTCGGCCAAAGCACACCCTCTCATCGCGAAATGATGTCTCGGATCAAAGGACTCGGTTTACTTCGTAAACCCTCGTAAGCATTCACTTCTGTCGAGTTGACACAAGCTAAATAATACGATACCCCCATGCCAGTGCGCAGTCCCGCAACAATCACTTCAATTCCTCAAGCGATCGCGAAGGAAGCGTTGGCCTCGAGGCTGAAAACGCACGCACGCAACTGCGTGTGCAGCTGATTATGCGAGCCGGTGGTCTTCGTCACCTCACCTGCCGTGCTTCTATGATGGAAGTAACCTCAGACACATGGACTAGCAATTCTAAATGCAACAAGTTCAAGGCAATCACAACCCGATAGGGTGGTATTGATACCTCACAATCGTTTAACTGCGATGACAACTCTTCGACTCACTAAACCAGGGGCTCTGAAGATGAGTTATGCGCCGTAAACAGCGGGCCAAGGAAGGTTTCAATGAATATGAGTGGTCAAGATGATATTCATAGCCATAATGCAGGTACACTCCGCAGTTTATATTCCATGGAACAGTTCTAATCAAACACTTGAAAGGGCATCCGTCTCGCTCTACTGTGTCTTTGACCCTTTCTTTTCTCGTGTGTATTGTGCAATAGATACCATTGTCGAAAGCATATTTTCTTAAGACGTCCGTGAATGAAATACAGTCCTACATCTGGCGTCCAAGCATAATAAGACGATTCAGAAATGTTCAAGCAAAGGCATAACAACACCACTGGGTTATTTGTGTCGCAATGTTGATTTGTACCACTGATATTGACCTACACATCTAGTACCACATCAATTCAGAGATCTGACAGGCAATATTGGCATGACCGCAGTGCTCGTGAGTTTCGGAGGTATTAGCAATCCTGGGTGGTGTTCTCTCACCGCACATAGAATCCGTTACTTATATAAGGCGGCTTCAAATTGGCTTCGAGCGCAAGAGAATCGACCCTCGTTACCGACATTGAAGGACCACCCTCACCTACACCAAACTCGACTCGATTCATGGCTGACACTACTTGGAACATCGGCGTCCTTCTTCTCCCTTTGCATCAACTACTCGATTGGGTTGGACCCATCGACTACATCTCCAATCATTCACGCCAGGTCCTCACTCTATATGCTGCGGAGTCTCTCATTCCTGCAGGTATTGCCGAGAGAGCACCTTTCATCAACTTCCATTATATTTCGCATGACCTCAATCCGGTGCTTGCATCGAGTGGCCCACCGATCCACCCCACCACCACCACAGCTGATTGCCCACCCCTCAATTATCTCGTCGTACCTGGCTGTGACCCATGGAAACCCTTGCCGGAAGGGATCACCCAGTTCATGAAGAAACTCTTGGCGGACCCCAACTTCAAAGCCTTCATGACAGTGTGCACGGGATCGATGGCAATCGCTCAGACTGGGGTTTTAGACGGACATACCGCGTGCACCAACAAGGTGGTCCTCCGAATTGCAGCAGAGAAGGGACTTCTATACAAGAACGTGAAGTGGATCGGCGACAAGCGCTGGCACCATGATGGAAGACTCTGGAGTGGAGCAGGGATCACAGCGGGTATCGATATGGCATGCGCTTTTTTGGCTGCTCACTTGGACAAGGACTTGTTGGAACTTGGCGAGAGGCTCGCAGAGTATAAACCTAACCCAGCTCATCCAGATGATTTCGCAAATATCCTAGAGGGCGTTAAGCTGGATTGATAACTCTTCGAATTGTAATAATCTGTAATAAATACATGCATTAACATGGAATTGTGTTTTATTTTCTGCAATCAGCAGTGATGAGACTTGGAAATGTACTTGGCGCGACGGCTGGGTCCTCAAATCGAGTGATGGTATGGCGAGATGGCCGAGCGGTCTAAGGCGCCAGACTAAGGAGACCAGGACATTTAGATGTCCAGCAGTGTTCGACACATCTGGTCTTTCGGGGCGTGGGTTCGAATCCCACTCTCGTCAATACTTTTTTGTGTCGGCACTTTCTACGTATATTTCATTATCTAATTTGCCTTGTCGTAATCCGACTTGGATATGATTACTATTATAGGAGCCAATTTATATAAGTATCACTGCAACTATAATGTCCAAAATACTTGTGATTGTTTGAATTCTTGAGCTATGTTGCAATCGGGTTCATAGGCTTCGCTGGTTCGATCATGA